CGAAACGGAAAAGGGTTTCAATTGCAATGAACATGCTACAATTTATTCGATATACATAAAAAATTACAATGAATACATTCACTATATACTTATACATATATTATATGAATTACATTCTTGCCATGACTGTGCAATGCTACATTGTTTTGACACATTAGTAATCGAGTAATTCAGCAAAATGTTTCGATAGAAACCAAAATTGAATAAAAAAAATAATTATGTTGCAATCATTTCTATTATTACAAACTTGAAAAATAATGTATTTTATACCGTTGGAATGCCTATTTTCTCCTCATCAATAATCACTAATGATATTGGTTAATATTCTAATACAAACCCAAGTTACACAGGGAAATGTAAAAGCTTGCCACAAAACTATGGCGGCCATATTGATTGCGTCATCAACGCCGCTAGAGGGCCAGAAAAATTTGTGTCCTGAGCTTTTTCAACGCGTCTACCCATGTACTATCTGAATCTGAAAGGGCGCATTGGTTGCCAGATGTGAAATATTTTGGTAGAATTTTTAGTTAACCGACCCCACTAAAAGAACACCGTGCGTCTAGGAAGAAAAGGGAAAAATGGTAGATATTGTTTTTTTAGATTTCATGTTCTACAGAGTACTTCCTTTCAAAATCACTCTTCAAAGATATTCCTATAATGGTACGGGAATATACAGCGCGTTTCATGTATGTACCTGTCGATTCGAGCAGGAAGAACGATTTCTCACAAAGTTGTATGTCTGCTGTCAAGTCACCTTATCAATAATATACCAATATTTTGAGTCGATCCCGAATCAACCTCAATTAGTTTTTAGTAAAATTATGAGAATTATTCACTTGTAACGAGTAACAGGATTTTCCAAGCATAGATGCTAGAACAAAGTATAATTACAGCACTAAAAGTGTTTCCACTTCTCAAAGTGAGCTATGGCCAGCTTGGAAACAAAATCCGATCCTGGGAGTTATCCATAAAGATATTGAAACAGATTTTGAAAAACATTTCATCTGCTATATGTTTGATGAAAATACTTTTCTTTATTTTTCATTAATACACTTTGGTGAAGATTCCCGTTAAAAATTTGAATTTGTCGTCATTTCTCAAGTGAAAAATGTGAGGTTGCATTATAGTAGGGGAGGCAAAGAGGCTAAATAGGGATTTACTCGAGCGTCGTGAAAACCTATTAGATTTAGAAGATTAGATGCTGAAAAGAAGAAGAAGGTTATATATGTCCTCTTACTGGTGGGGAAGGCGTGTACAGGTTTCCTAAAATGTGAAAAAAACACTCACAAAGGAATACTCGAGCGCTTCAGATATCAATAGTGTATGAGCCCCGTGTTTCTGATTTTTTTTATGAAAATTTTTATTCCTCCTCAATATTACTATTATTCCTTCATTTCGACGCATGCTGTTGGTTAAACGAATACTTTATACATAGTAGTACTAAAAATATCAGTAGAAACGAGCTATGAGAAACGGGTAGAGTCCGACCACGATAACTTCGGGACAGCACGTGACGCAAGGCATATGCAAAGTCAATGCATACGCGACCACCTGCTGTCCCAAAGTTATCGTGGTCGGACTTCTAAAGGAAAGGAGCCCCAAGAATTACATTGTCGGTAGGGTAAGATAAGGTTAATCCAGCCCTGGTGAGAAATAAAGAGAGATTGAGAAGGGCAGAGTGGCGCGAAGTGGGATACATAGTTCCCAGCGGCTGTACGCACAACACTTAATTGATGATGTTTGCTACTTCGGCTTGTGCAAATCGGAAGATTATGTTATTTCTATGATCCATGACTAATTTCCTTCAAAATAAGAAAAATAACCGTGCTCGAGAAATAGATGTGTAGAGAGTCAAATGCTTTTATCACTTCCTATTGAAAGGAGTTTCGAAATTTCTCGATATCGCCTACTTTGTAAAGATAGCGAGGCGTGGGAGAATCTTGCTAAATCCCCGAACTTTCAAACCAAATTTACAGGCATCATGACACATTCATTTGAGTTCAAATTTTCATGTTAACAATTTTTTGTGTAAATGAGAACGGTGCGTTATATTTTCGACTTTCAATGGTGAGTTCATAAACGACACGAAGTCCTAACTCAAGAAAATCAAGAAAATTTGGTACATAAAATAAAACGAATGTTCGGAATTTCAAATAAATCTCACAAATTGCAGCAAAATCAGTTCATGATGAAAGCACAATACACTCCCTCAACTAATATGATATCAATACCTGATGCTTAATAAACTACTAATGCTAATTATGTCGAAAATGTGACACTCGTGCCAAATATGTCGAGTCAAGATCAAGACGTTCCCACTCGGATTATTTGCTGAGCCCTGCCTCTTTTGCGTCCTGTTTCTAGATGCTTCATCAACGGTACTCTTCAGAACCCTAAAGAAGGAAAATACACCCTTGGAAGTCTAGTTCGACTTCATAATTAGAATCGAAACGAATTTTGAAATTTTTCAAGAAATTGACCATCGTTCACACCATCTATCATCGAAGATAAGAACCCCACGTTCCGAACTCGCATTAATCGATTGTTTATAGTCTGACGAAAGAATTGAAGAGTGGACACGCCAGAGGATGTATGAATATCTTACTCGAGAATGTCAGGTGACGTTTTTTTTTGCAACTTTGTGGCTCTCCCATTCATTTATGTCAAGCTCAAATTGTCGGATAATTTTGAAATGCACACTTTTCTGCATGTAATTAACTCACCTTGCCTTAATCTGACGAGTTCGAGTATTTTTAATGATCGATTTCATTTTACTAATCTGATCGGCAGCCATATAAAGGGCTCAGGTATGGTGCGAGTACTTCGACGTCCAGATTAGGACCGTAGACGTACTAGGTACGTCCAGATTCCGCGCATCTGTAGATCCCCAGTACGTCCATTCAGGACCATGAATACATTTGATACTGTTATGGAATTAGATGATCACGGCAGAGAATACCTAAATAGATGTTTTGTGATTTGGTACGGCGAGCAAAAAATGAATTGTGAGAATTGTATTATGTTCATGTTTGCAAGAGGTTCCTACATGAATAGATATCAGAGATCGAGAATAGAAATTATTTACAATGATTTCAATTCTTATACAATTTATTCAATCCCGTTCACACAAAGTCGATAACGTCCAGAGTTGGACGTACTCATTACATCGGAATCGTACGTACCCAGTACGTCTAGGAATTGACGTTTTCAGTACGTCTTGAAAAGGTCCCGGACGTTCAGACCTGAATCGGACCTAAAATGGACGTCCCCAGAACGTCTAGTGCTATATGGGTTATGTAAGTCTTTCATTCTGGAATAAATCCCAAAATCCCCGCTAGAGCTCCCCTACTGTCATGATAATGAGGTGACAAAATCATCTATAATGAGAATAATCTGTGATAGAAGGACTGTTTTATGTATCCAAGAATTTTGGAGTAGAATATCAATTGAAAATTAATTTACAGTGCGTTCACATATATTTTGAACCCTGTCCAATAACTTTTTTGTTCATTCTTCAATTTCTCAAGAAATGCTTTCTCATTATTTATGGTGTTTGTTGCATTTGAAAAATAATATAACTCCTCCATAACTTTTTCTTGAGATGTTCAAATATTTTTCTGTCAACGTATATGAAATCTACATGAAAAATAATAAAAATATAAAATCATTCTTTGAAAAACGATAATGATAATTAAACAAGCTAAGAGGTTGTTCAAAATATACCTGAAGACCATGTATATTGCGAAATAGATAACCCTGTGAATCTTTTGGGGTTTTGATAAATATAACCAAGTAGAGCATCAATCGACGAGCAAAGATTGGATAAAATTGATTGTTTCGATAAAAAATTGACATGCTCAAGTATCAGTCACAGTGTAAGGATGAAATAATCTGTATGCTGTGTATCAGTGAGTGCAATAATAGAGTCCGCATTTTTATATTAGTCATGTTTTTTTGGTGTATGCAGATAACATTTTTGAATGATGATGAAAGTATCATTCAATTTCATCCAAAAAATCAACAGTTATAACTGAATCACTAGTTTTTTATCAATACCTTCTAAGTAGATCTTCTTGTTCTACAAACAAGCTACATTTTGTTTGTTTTTCTCTACTACCCAACTAATCGCGATTTGTGAAATTTGAATAGATTTTTAATATACAAGCTCTTGAAACTGAACCACCCCTGTGAACAGTCAGTCAAAAAACAGTACCAGCTCTGAATCCCTTATTCAATATCCAATTGTAAAAAAATATGAAAGAGAGAATTAATTTTTTGAAAACCAATACGAAGGAATTATGTCGATCACGAAAGGAGATTTAATATTGTTACCATAGATGCTCATAAAAAAATTGCAAATATACACTCATAGTTTTCTCAACAAAATATTTTGTGATAAGCGAGAAAATATCGTTTAAGAGCCTCACAGCAGTTGGCGGCCAGAATGTACTGAAGTTTTGAGTTCCATTTGTAGAGTTCTGTCAGGTTGCCGGCTGAACTGTATCAAGGAATTTTATGATTTGAACAAACTGTAAACTGATACATACGAGAACAAATTCGGGGAAATGAATATAAATTACCCAGTAAAGAAAACGTGCCTTCCAGATGTATTTTCACTTCTTATGGCAACTATGTGTGTCCCTCATTTGAACCGTTTGAATGAGAGAATTAATTACTTTACTTGTGTTTTTGAAACCCTGAAACCATTCAGAATTTATTTACAAAATAATAAAATTGGAAGCATTCAAGTTTCAATGCATGAATGTAAATGATTCTGTCTATGGTTATGCTTCTTCCCGTGATAAGAGCATCAAATCAACATGTTCCAACAATTTTCCTCGAATTGCCAGCATCAGCGCACTTTCCTAGAAAACACCTTATTCGAGTTCAAAAAAAAATATTCTGACATACGATATTCGCAGGTGCTCGTGTTTGTACAAGAAGGCGATAGTGCTGTACATACGAATTAAAATAATTTATAAAAGTAACCGGTTCGCACTTCACAATACGGACTCCTTCATCTGGATTTCCTTCTCGTCTGGACTCGATGCGGTTTTCACTATTGTGGGCAAACGTTTGCCGCCCTGGTGGCCCATGGTGATAGGCTCGTCTTCTTCTTCGTCTTCATCTATGGGCGTGAGAGCGTCACCCTAAAAATAAAAAGAAAAGACATTTATCCACTTGTGTCTCGGAAGCGCAGCAAATTAGGGCATAGGTATGAAATATTCCATTACTGAAATGAGCCACCGCCGTATCTGGTAAACTAGAATAGATACTGTCAAATAGACAGAATGATCCATATGCCTGTGACATACCAAACGTACGATTTTTCGAATGGAATGCCCTGAATTTCATTTCGCCCTTGGATAGAGCTCAGATAGACGAGTTAAATGGCAGTCCAAAAGAAGAGACGCTACCCCCCCTGGTTTAACCGCAATATTATTGCTGATATCAGACGAAAACATGTTTTCAGAAAAATGTATAAAAAACAACAAAATGAAAACGACAGGCAACAATATATATTTTTACGCTCAAAAATAAAGAGAGACATGAAAATTGCACATGCTGATTATGTAAAAACCATGGAAAGCGATATAAAAAACGACCCAGCTAATTTTTGGAAATATATCAACTCGGTAAAGAAGAATAGCGATTCTATATCAGGGGAAATGCATTACAATGGTGACATTATGATTGACAATGTGGATATAGCGAATGCATATGCAACGTTCTTTCATTCAGTCTATTCTGGAACGAAAGCTCGATATAATATAGAAAGTCTTGAAAATGAATCGAATACCATCGATAAACTGCAAATCCAGGACATAACAGATGACGAAATAAAGGTCGCTATCAAATCTTTAAAACCAAAAAAATCTCTAGGACCGGACAAAATACCTGCATATATATTCAAGGGCTGTGCAGATTACTTAATAAAACCCCTAAAAATAATCTTTGATCTTATTCTGAAAACATGTGTCAGTCCCATTTTGAAAGGTGGCAATAAAAATGAAATCACCAATTACAGACCAGTGGCATTAATCTGTGCTCCAAGTAAGTTGTCTGAATCTCTGTTCTATGTGAAAATATTTGACTATATTAATCTAGAATTATCAAAACAACATGGATTCATTTCAAAAAAATCAACTCTGACAAACCTATTAAGTTTTTCACAATCAATTAATGAAGAAATAGATTACAATGGTCAAATGGATGTCATACACGCAGATTTCGCAAATGCGTGCGATAAAGTTGACCATGATATGATTTTCAGTAAGTTGTCTGAATTGGGATTTTCTAATAATTTGTTGAAAATCTGTGCATCCCATCTCGAAGATCGTCAACAGTATGTAGTATATAAAGGAGGTACATCTTGTGAATATTTTACAAATTCAGGAGTACCACAAGGGTCAAACTTAGGGCCTATATTTTTCTTGTGCATGATAAATGACCTACCAGATATTCTTGAAACTTCTGAATGCCAATTATTCGCTGACGATTTGAAGGTTTATGCGAAAATCGTCAATGAATCAGATTGTGAAAACTTACAAGAGGATATTAACAGAATAATGTCTTGGTCTGAAAATAACAACCTATACTTCAATGTTGGAAAATGTTTCTCCGTAACATTTACTAGAAAGAAAAATATAGTGGACTTTACATACAAATTGAATGACACAGCCTTACAAAAAAAAACTGGAGCTATGGATTTGGGTGTTTATTTGGATAATGAACTGAACTTCAATACACATATAGATAATATCTCTAAACGGGCGTACAAACTACTTGGATTTATAATAACAAATTCTTGCAAATTCAATGACTTAAAAACATTGTGTTTCATTGTATAATGCTTATGTAAAAAGCATATTGGAATATGCTTCGGCAGTATGGTCTCCTTTTTACGAGCGTCATAAAAACGAATTGGAGAAGGTCCAAAAGAAATTTTTGAGGTACCTATATTATAAAAAACACAAAGTGTATTATTTTGATTTACCATATAAAACTTTATTGAATGAGTTTAAATTAATTAAATTAGAACATAGAAGAGAAATAGCATCGGTACTATTCTTGCATAAATTAGTTAATGGACAAGCCATTTGCCCGGTAATTTCAAGAAAGTTAGTTCGTCCTCAAGCACACTATGTTAATAAAGATATCCCCATATTTTTTCTGCCAAGACCGAAAACGAATCTTGATTTGAATGATTTGATTTGAATGCTCCTGTATATAGGATTTGTAAACTGGTAAATGAATTAAAGTTGGACATCTTTCGAAAAACGTTCAATGTTGTTAAGCAAAGAATATTTTCATATTATAATATAAGTCAATCAAATTAATAATCTACTGCATATCATCATACTACTTAAAACATTCTAGGTCTGTATTGTAGCATTATGTATTTGGGTCAGGTAAAATTCGTTTCACATTTTCACAACTGAATTACTTAATATATACTTTTCTTTTCTTATTCACCACTATAGATAACGTTTCTCTGCTCACTGAAATCTGATTAGTCTTAAGGGAATAATTGTAATCGATTATTGGATTTATTTCTGTAAGATTACATACAAATAAAATAAAATAAAATACATAATATATGATAACATGGGTCTTAACATCTGTTTCGAATTTATCCATGAACTTCTTCATTATGAGTAGTCAAATTTCAAAAAAACGTTGGGGATCAAGTTCTCCATGCGCTTTTCTTGAATATTTGGGAAAAGTTATAGAGATATCTACAACGAGAAACGCGCCTGTGCCTGTAGAACTTTCCACCACGTTTTTACAGTATTTAGAAATCAGACAACCTATTGAAGAAGAGTTCGAGACGGGTGTTCTCAGACTCATATTATCATATATCATTGAACTCGTTTTTTTGAGCTCTATCCAAGCATGAAAATTTCGAGAAAATGACGAGAAAATGATGGGTTTGCAAAATACGTCACTTTTGGCAAATTCAAAATTTCTAAATATAGACAACATATTAAGATATTATATGAAGGGACAAGGGACAGCCAGGGCAAAGCTTGCTGGAATTCAGCGGCTGGCATGCCTGGCCATTACAGAGGTGATGTCCTCTACTCCAACGGCAGCGATGGAAATTCCCCTGAACCTCACTCCTCTCCACATTGTCTTGGAGAGAGAAGCCAGGATGGTTTCCTACATATTCCTGTCACAGGAAAATCAAATCAGAGTGGGGCGACTGCTGGACCACTACGAGATGCTGTGTGAAATAAAAAATCACCAAAATGCAGGAATGGTTCCCAACATGTTGGCTACTCAGACACACGTGGAAAAGTCTTTCGATGTCCTCTTCATAAAGAGAGACGAGTGGGTAAGTGGATCAATCCAATTCCCAGAGACCGAACACGTAATGTACACCAGATGGTGCGAAAACCCCTCTTTGAGTTGGAACCAGTGTGTTCAGCAGGAAACCGAAGACGGAAATCACTGTCAATCTCGGTAAGTATGATACAATCTTTCAGGCGAAGGTCTTCGCAATTGAATTGTGTGCTAGAGGGTTGACGAATAGGCCGCTAGTAAATAAAAACATCAGTATTGTATCAGCCAGTCAGGCTGCTCTCAAAGCACTGAGCTCTAGCAAGATAAATTTCAAGCTTGTATGGGGCTGTATTGAATCCCTAGAATGCCTGAAGAGAGCAACAGACTTTGCTGAGGGTGCCTGGACACCAGGGGGTGGAGGGCGACGAGAAAGCCGACATCCTCGAGGAACCGAACATCGTAAGGAGCCGAATCTGTGATCATAGGACCAGAATCGTACTTTGGGATCACCGCAAGTGAGGCCTGGGAGGAGGGTAGAAGACTCACAACCTGGTCTGAATCACCAGGATTAACCCACTCGAAGGCGATTCTGCCTAAACTATCGAAAAACATAACCAGGCAGATCCTAGAATGGAGCATGGGTAACCTGCGAATTCTGACAATACTGCTTACGGGAGGGACACTGTCACAAGATACCATCTGGGGAGGATGGGTCTGACCAAACAAACGGATTGTCGGTTCTGCTGTGTGGAAGACGAAACGACTGAATACATGTTATGTTCATACTCATGCTTAGAGAGATTGAGGTTCGACATATTTGGCTTTACCAATTTAGAACTTATCCATTTTAGACAAATCTCACCTAATTTAACCATGGATTTTGTGAAAAGATGTGGATTGTACAGTGAACTGTAACCTCTAGGTGAGCCACAATAGACCTATCTGGGGTCACAGTGGGGGAGCGATATTCGCCCAACTCACATGGGACCTAACCTTACCTATCATATTGAATTTGGTAATTCATGACGAAAACTGCGCATCGAAAACTTGATTGTCAACGTTTCTGAAGGGCTATGAAATTTGGCTATTCATTGAAGCAGATCATGGATAAGTCCGAAACGGTGATCTCAGACCCATATGTTATCATATATCATTGAACTCGTTTTCCTGGGCTCTGTCCAAGGACGGAATGAAATTCAGGGTATTCCATTTGAAAAATCATTCCATATATATGACATTATCTGAAGAAGAAAGTTCATATGACTATAAACAACTTCTATTTTCAATTCTTTTTGTATCTGTACATCTGTACATAACATTCAGGAGCACCTTGTTTGTTATTTCAACACTGAAGTTTCGACTTGTACAGATCTGGAAGAAAATATTCTTCCAGGTCAGGAATTTCAATGCGTTTTGAAGTTGAGATATTGTGGCCAGTCGACAAGCAGAAAATATAGCGAATAAATAGATACAAAACTCAGTTATTTTCACTAATGTTCATAAAATGAACAATCATGGTAGATGACGGAAGGAATGCTAATACCATGCAGAACATTGAATTACCCCCAGCAAACACGAAATAGCTGGCGATTCAATAGCCCATTGAGCATGGCCTACTTATTGACCTTCCAATTCTTACTTTTTGTACTCTGTCGGATAGGTAAGATCTGTTCTAGTTTCTTAGGTGTGATACAATGTATTTTCTAAAGACCAGGAATAATATGAAATAAAATGAAACATGTATATGTTCCATTTGAGTTGACAAATTGAATAATATCATATGTTAAGATACTCCAGTTTTCTTGAAATATTTTTTTTCTGAATTTTAGTGATAAGTATTTAAAACGTGATTCATCTCAGATCTAAGGAACAACCACTTTCAATCCACTATTAACAGCTATTTATATATATCAAGGGAGTAAAGGTATCAATTTCCTCCTGCGTGTGAATTTTGATGCCAGACGCGTAGCGGAGGGTGTATGGAATGGAGGGCTAAGGCTAAGATTCAAAATGTTTGGTGCTGATACGCTTCAACAAAGGAAGAATTAGGGGACCGAATGGTAGATATGTGTGCCAGCAGACGGGTCCGCAAAATGATCTCATGGGGGTCTATATGACTTTCTACTACTTGTATTAACCCGAAGTTGATATAAAATGGTGTTACATTCTGAAACAACATTTTCATGCAACTACAATAGGTATAAATTAGAAATATGTGAGCTAGGAAACTATTATTGATGCCAAAACTGCGACCGAAACCAAATTCATTCATGAACCTACATGAAAATCAAATGAGTGAATAAATTCTAAAATTATTCAATTTCCAAACACAATCTGGTGTGAATTTTCTTACCGAATACCACACGAGGTTAAGTTATTTTCCTCGTCTTCGACTCGCAGCATCGTGTGTACCTTTTTTTAATGTTCTGAGAGAACATCGTGAGAACCAACCCTAACAACACAGGGATGTCCTAGGTGCGTCCCTTTTTTGTCCCGCGGTACAAGAAAATGATTGGGACATCCAGGGGATGTCCCGCCAGTAGTTGTCCAGTGGACATCCCACCCGGTACATCCCTAGGTTATCCCATTCGTGTCCCTGGAATATCTGATATCCATTCTTCACATCAGAGAGTCATTCAATATCATCAAAATATTGAGTCGAATTTTTTCGAAAATGTATTTCTTCCGGAAAATGATTGTGATTGAAATAAAGAATATAGTCTCAAAACTTCTCAAGGAATGACCATTTTTCGCAAACAGAGATCGTAAATGCATAATGCCCCTCATTTTCAAACACCCAAGAATGATAATAATTATACCCGAATCCTAACAGTTTTATTTATCCAGGTTTCTGTAGTTGTCCTGTTTATAAATCTGTTCAATACATGAATCTTCAGAAGGCATATTGGCCAATGGAGTAAGGTGCGTGCCTGATAAGCTGAAGGTACCGGGTTCAATCCCAACTAGACCTACTTTTTTTTTTCTTTTGTCGAAGGGATGTCCCTGGGATATCCTTGGGACGTCCTAGGGATATCCCTTCTTTGTACTCGGTACATCCCAGGGACGTACCAGGAGGGACATCCCTTGGATGTCCTTTTTGTCTGAAAGCGGATGTCCCTGGGACGTCCCTAGTATGTACTTTGTCCCAGAAAAGTTATCCCTGGGATGTCCTTATTTGAAATTAGGGACGTCCCTGGGAATTTCCTAGGATGTACTCGTGTTGTTAGGGAAGGGAAATAAGGTAGGAATTGGTGTTCTTCTAAGAGTTCTGTAGGTTATATGCCTCGGAGAACACCTTCCTTGGCAATGTGTTCCAGAGTCTCGCTGTTCGTTGTATGAACGAGTCTTTGGAAAGAGATGTTTTGCAGGTCTCCAAAGTGACCACGAAGGGGTGCGAAGCCGATGGGTTAATCTCGCGGGGATTGCCAAGGGAGGAACAATTGTTCATATTTCAGAAGAGCATCGTCCATGAGAATATCTTTAAAATAGAGCCAGATCGAGAACTTTTCTACGGTGTTTCAGTTAAGTGGGTGAGTTTTTGAGCGAGGCATCACCCACGAGACAGAATTCAACAGTTTCAGGGTATGTTTGGGTGCTGCACTCCAAATATAGAAACAGTATTCCAGGACAGGTCGGATCTGTGCCTTATAGATCATAAGCAGCCGACTGGAAGTGAAATAGCTCCTGGCCCGAAACAGAAAACCAAGTTTTTGGGATGCATTTTCAGCAATTGATCTCACGTGATTTTCCCAAGAAAGGTTATTGCTGATAGAAATACCAAGCATCGAAATGGATGTCTTTAAAGGTATGTTTACTCCTGACAAGCTTATGTTGGGAACAGTAAAATCAGTTTTTCTAGAGAAAAGGCATGCTTGTGTTTTGTTTGCATTGAAATCTACCAAGTAATTGGATTCCCATTCGAAAATTGTTGCCAAGTTCATATTTATGTTGGTTGTCAACATTTCTCCCTCGTTCGTTCCTGATTTGCCTGGCTGGTATTGGAACCCTGGAAGAGAAGGCGGTATGGAGGGTACTATCATCATGATGAAGTTGTTTCCAACAAATCGTTGATATGGAGCCTAGGAGTATCCAACTGTGCTAAAATATACGGGGTGTTCCATTAGAGAAAAAATAATTGACTGTCGTATCTTCTTGATGTCACCCTGTATAAAATTTCTGATGATGCCAATGGATTCTACGCATCATTCTATATGGATAAGAATCTGAAATTTTTCAATATCTCTCTTCATAAAGTACTCAGAAAATAAAAACGAAATCAGCAATTTTTCAATTTACCCCTGTATCTCTGAAACGAATGAAGATATATCAAAATTCCAATTGTACCATTCGAGGTTTCTCTAAAATCGAACCCGTAACATGTCTATCGATTTCTTGATAATTCCTTCAGTTACTGAGATAGCCTATGAAAACGTCCAATTTTGCCCACCCTGTACTTACCTAGTAATGTGTTCTGAGTCAATGTTCATTTATTCCATCAACAACAAAATCTCGCTCTTTGAGTCAAGATCTCGCTCGTTTTTGACAGCGTAGCTCGCTCGAAAAAACATTTAGTCTATGGCAACACTGGCAAAAGCTAGTAAACTACTCAACACTAATTTCGTCGCACACCAAAATGTAGCCCCTGTTATAATGTGAATAACTTTTTTCAGTTTGAAACAATTTGAATTTGGTTCACACTGTTCGATAGCCCAGTCCTTCAGCTATAATCTCGTACTTCATTGAAACATAAGGGTATTCACATAAAATCTCTACATGGTGTTTTCCGACACTGTGCAAAATTTCGGAATATTCAAAAGGCTCTCAAATGGTGAAAAAAAATTTTTTCTCATCTTCGACAATAGAGGCATGAAGATGATCTCATTACTTCGAGATGTTCCGCGAATCAACTTCCTATCTTTCTTATTTACAGAGTGATCTCAAAAAAGCAACTTTTTGGTTTTGCAGCCTTAACTTTTTTCCACGTCAACCGATTTTAGAAATCTTAGGCTCATTTTGAAGATAAAACTTCAGATGAAGAGATCTGAATATCAGAATTGACTCAAGATGGCTATCAGAGATCTAGAGTTTTCTTGAGAGTGACCCAAATCTGGAACGCCCTCCGAATCTCGGTTGGGAGGAGAATTGAATGGAAATCAACTTTTTCTCGGAAAAACCATTCATTCTGGTTGCGTCCATATTTTCCTCGCTCTCAGTAGTCAAGAATTGTGCGTGAGAAAACACAATTGAAACATGTTCTTGCAAAAACATCAAACCATTTCTCCTCTGTAATGCATGGCCCGTAACCAACGTTACAAGAATCACAATGGACTGACAAACCCGACCAGCTAAGGCTCATCATAAATGATGTACCAACATCCCTATGCGGTCTCGCATTGTCATCAACGAGAACAAAGTTGTCACCCACATTCGCGTTAGATGCGGCATCGAAACTATCGAAATCGGTTTATGATTCGAAAACGACGTCTAACCTGACTTGTTAGTCACTTACTGTGATTCTTGTAACGTTGGTTACGGGCCATGCATTACAGAGGAGAAATGATCTAATGTTTCTGCAAGAACATGTTTCAATTGTGTTTTCTCACGCACTTCCTTGACTACTGAGAGCGAGGAAAATATGGACGCATCCAGAATGAATTGTTTTTCCGAGAACAAGTTGATTTTCATCCAATTCTCCTCCCAACCGAGATTCGAAGGGCGTTCCAGATTTGGGTCACTTTCAAGAAAACTCTAGAACTTTGATAGCCATCTTGAGTCGATTCTGATATCCAGATCTCTTCATCTGAAGTTGTATCTTCAAAATGAGCCTAAGATTTCTAAAATCGGTTGACGTGGAAAAAAGTTATGGCTGCAAAACCAAAAAGTTGATTTTTTGAGATCACTCTGTAAATAAGAGCGATAGGAAGTTGATTCGCGAAATATCTCGAGGTAATGAGATCATCTTCATGCCTCTGTTGTCGAAGTTGAGAAAAAAAATGGTTTCACCATTTGAGAGCCTTTTGAATATTCCGAAATTTTGCACAGTGTCGGAAAACACCATGTAGAGATTTTATGTGAATACCCTTATGTTTCAATGAAGTACGAGATTATAGCTGAAGGACTGGGCTATCGAACAGTGTGAACCAAATTCAAATTGTTTCAAACTGAAAAAAGTTATTCACATTATAACAGGGGCGACATTTTGGTGTGCGACGAAATTAGTGTTGAGTAGTTTAGTTAACAAATCCAAAACCACCACTTACCTCGCCGAGTTGCGGCTCCTCCTGCGGCACGAACCCTTTGAGGCAGGGCGCCAGGAAGCTGGTGACGGCGGCCAGGGCGAACAGCCCGCCCGCCACGTAGAAGGGCACTTTGTAGGAATGGGTGGCGTCGTAGAGGGCGCCCGCTAGGGGAGAGCCGACGATGGCGGCCGCCCCTCGGAACAGGATGAGCAGGCCGAAGGCGTTGGTCAGTTTGTCGAGGCCGAGCAGGTCGACGAGGATGATCGAGGTGAGGGAGATGTAGCCCGCTGGAAAATTAAGTGACGTTTGACATCGTGAATCTGGCGAAACTTCAGACTAAATACAATAGATATACACTGCGATTCATTCGTGCATCATTGGAAGGTATACGTCAACAATCTCAAACGCCAAACACGGATAAATAAATGGGGGTTAACTCAGTAGAATGGGCAAGTGGACTGATAATGAATTATTAGCATTCAATTACTCCACTGTGTCGTTAGGAACCCAAATAAATTTTAGCAACACTTCTCACACTTTTTTTATGTAAAGAATAAGTTTATGCGTTGTTGAAAATCGTTGAATTTCCGAGCTCATTTCAAACATAACGTCATGGCCGCTATTTGGCGATACGTCGAATAAATGGTGACGTCAGTTTTTATGCTGCTTCATTATTGGTCAGATAATCTTCCATTTCCACTAATGAAGCAAGGTTGTCGGGTCACCAACTGTAATCAAGTCATCAAAAAGATGTTTGGGTTCTGTTGTTGTATAAATCATAATAGGAGGATCCCATGACATTATAGTTCATTCTCGACTTTTTTGAGCAACCAGCATGTCCAAATATTATTTATTCTCCAAAACAAAATATCATGTTAATGTTGGAGACTCAGAAACATTGTGCTGAATGCTGAGAACTGACCACAAGTCGTGCGCCGGGTTGTCACGTTCACCGATTCAAATGTCCTCTAGCGTGAATGAATATAATTATTGAATACTGTCTGTAGGTTAATCAAGTACATTCATTATTCCAGATTTTTTGGGATTCTCTCTCGTTTCTATAAAATGATAATATGAATATTATTTCAATATACGTGTAGTAATAAGGACAAATCAGATGATTCGCCCCAAAATGTCACTGCGTTTGAAGAATTTTCCTATCAGAGCCTAAAAGAAAAATTCAATAGCATGTCAGTGACAATTTGTATTGAAAAAGGTTTGGAGAAGAGAAATATAGGTATATAGACAAAATATCAAATGTTCACTTAGCTTTGGACGTTTCGGGAACGAATCTGAGAACTGAAAAGTTTCAAGACAGATACGAATTTAGGCTCTCTGATAGGAAAATTCTTAAAAGGCAGTGACATTTTGGGACAAATCATATGATTCGTCCTTACTACACGTATAATGAAATAATATTCATATTTTTGTTTTATATTCGTTATCCCGAATTCCAAGTTCCTCTGTAATGGATCAATTATTATAGTTCAGAAATAAACAAGTACGATCGGTTAGAGGTATATCCTTTCTTCCTAGAACCCGTCGACGATGTATTGCGGTTGCTTGCTGCACAACATTTTGATCTAGATCGATGCGTGCCATAGCATTAATATTGCCTTCGCTATCGCATATAATGCAACGAAACCTATTCTGATAAGCCATCTGCTTATATGTATTTGAACAAAGTAATACGCTTTTGCTCAATGACTTTTACTGACATAACATGAATGACCATTATCTGACAACTCAAAAATATCATATTAGCCGAAACCATATACCATACAGGATGTGCTGTTCTGGTAGAGGTTATCTCGTTTGGCTTCAAGAGCTTATAACTTTTTTTTCCGGGCATAACGAACCTTGGACCAAAGGACATTTCTTGTGCAGCATGATTTGATCTATCATATCCTATATTTCCACAAAATTTCACCGTAGACACGATTTCAATGTGAATGGTGCGGGGTCCTTTATCATAACCCAATAAGCCAAAAATCATCAAGAAACATTCCGAGCTAATTGAATTTTTATTGCTTATTAGGAATATTAGGAATACTCAATTCAGAATTTATTAATTATTGAATAACTATTATTTCTGAAGGTCCCAATCGTATTTCAAACACATGGCAACTGTACTATGATCTGCCCCTACTTACGAAATCGTGGCGTCAGTTATTACTGGCGGTAAATTTCTAGCCGTTTGAAAATTACCGTGATATCATTGATGATTTTAGCACCTAAGAATCGACCGAAAAATTCCTAATAAATATGTAATTGATAGGTATTTGAGTGATGATTCTATTAAAGAAATGAAGGACAATTACTCCACTCGCCTATTATTGCCAGAGAATTGATATTCTTCATAGATATATTTCAAGCTCTTGATCTAAAAGTAAATTATCGGGCTTGTAATGACACACACCTGTCTGGTATTTTGTAGTGTTTCTGTAGGTGTGGCAAATAGCAAGCTAACAGGTGCTATAAAACAAAGTTATCCGTACTAATGTATTATTACCATGATAATTAATCTATACTCTCGTGTGGTGGATCACCACGAACAATGTCATGACATACCTATGATCAATGAATACATCACGAAAGTATCAAATACGTTCTAAAAATGTCATGCTTAGAGAGCTCCCAATCGATCCGTAATAACCTCGAAAACTGTCTTGAAGTTCACCAGATCAACATCACTTTCGTGTGGCAGTGTTCAAGCTGAGTTGCAGCGTGGGCGACTCTATGCCCGTATATACAGGGTGTTCCAAAAAACCTAACCCCCTTGCTAGGGTAGGTAGAACATTGCAAAATACGTTGGGTTTGCTCAGTGAAAAAATGTCGTAACGGCATCCGTTTTCAAGATACAAGGTGTTGAAAAAATATTTTTTTTTACATTTTTAACGATTATTCGAAACTACTGGCAACATTGTGATGAAATGTTGAATGAATGTGTTCTGAAAGCTGACACACCGCATAAATTTGTTTTTATATCTGACACTCATAGAGGCCGCTAGTTACACGGTTCGTACCGAACATAACTTTCTTGAGGTTAGATTCAGTCCAAATTCAATGTGAACTTGAACACCATTCAATTTCACACCAAAATGATGCTCTTGGTAAAACTCGATACTGTGTACCGTTTTCGAAATATTTCGATTTGAAAATGCTAAAGCAATAACTGTGGTATTAGAATAGGTACCTATTATAAAGAACAATTATCTATTTATTAAGGACAAAAATCATTAACATTGTTTTACTGCTGAAGTTATCGATGAAACAAAATCACATCAGAAAATATTCAATTAAATTTGACTAAAAACATCATCTAGTTAGAGTAAGTGTTCAAAATGTCCTCCGTTCTCACGAATACACAATTCGAACCTTTTTTCTAAAGAATGCATCAATCTTCTCAACAGTTGAGGATTAGCTATGCGAAGTGATGTTCAATTCTTTCTAGCAGCTCTTGACGTGCATTTACCTATGTAGCATAGACTTCTCCTCAATATAGGACCAAACTGTGTAGTCCAATGGATTGAAATCACATGAACGTAGAGGCCAATGAATCGGAGCTTCTGAACCTCTACCAATCCATCGATTCGGATAATGGTTGTTCAACCAATCACGACACCTTCTATCAAAATGTGGGGAGCTCCATCATGCATTTGGAACACTCACTGATTGAATATTACATGTTTTAGTTAAATTTATTCAATTTTTTTTCATGACTCTCTGTTCAATTGATAACTCCCACATTAGAATAATCTCATTGGTTTTATTTATCGATAAATATGTAACAGTCTTTTATAATACTTACTTTCAACTAGCATCAGTGTTATACTTCAGCATTTTCAAATCGAAATATCCCAAAAATGGTACACAGTATCAAGTTTTACCAGTAGCACCTTTTTAGTGTAATTGAATGATGTTCAAGTTCACATTGAATTCGGACTGGAAAATGTAAACTCTAAAAAGTTATGTTTAAAAGTACTCGGTACGACCCGTGTAACTAGCGCACTCTATGAGTGTCAGATATAAAAACGAATCCATGCGATGTGTCAGCTTTCAAAACACATCCATACAAAATTTCATTACAATGTTGCCAGTAGTTTCAACATAATCGTAAAACATGTGTGAAACAAATATTTTTTCAACACCTTGTCTCTTGAAAACGGATGGCGTTATGACATTTTTTCACTGAGCAAATACAACTTATTTTGCAAAGTTCTACCTACCCTAGCCAGGGGGTTAGGTTTTTCTGAAAACACCCTATATATAGACTGCCCCGGGAGGCATATCGGTCGATTCTGGGCGAGGTCTGTATATATGGTCAGCGAGCGCCTTGTCCAAGGCGACAGAAAATAAAAAAAAATAGTTTTGCATTCATTATCCCTAGCTAAACGTGAATTTCTATTTCCCCAATGTTAATATTTACCCCTTACCTAACTGGGTTCACCTCGTAGATTTTTTATTGAAAGGAGAATAGCTTCAGGAGATGGGACACATATATATGTCAGGATTCATAGAACAGATTCTCCCTGGCTAAAACCAGCCAACTCCACTATACATGGAGAATTGTTTTATGTATACACCTTTCAAGTAATTTGTTTTAATAGTCAATGTACTCACATGAGATATAAATAAATGATATTTCTTTATCTTTATTATTCCCAAGAAACATATATGTTTATAGCAGGGAAAATTATGAAAGAGCAACTAAAAAACAAAAATTAGATAATCATTTTTAAATCATATACATAATACATATATAGATTCGGAAAGACGATTGAATGGACATGATACCCGAGGAACCACCAACCAGTGACAATAGTACATAATTATCAAAATCCCCTCGAATACTCATACACTGCAATGCCGAAAATTATCGAAATGGCGATGTTAATGTTAGGAATTGTGGAATATTGTGACTTTATCTCAGTGTTTCGCCGTTCCATGATGAGTTGATACTTTGTCTAATGTTAATGTTCTGTGAGATATACAAACCTTGGTGTTGAAACATGAAAATGTCATATGTCAATAATTAGACAGTTAGGTTAAAATATATGAATGCAGACAAGTTTTTTGATGGCGTCGTTTCACAAATGAATAATAAAGTGATTATTCCTTGCAATTACTAAGCAGCCACTGTGTTTTTATCAAGACAAAATCCCTAACTTCAATAGGTTATGGGCCCAGTTTGATATTGAAGGAAAAATAAAAATTGCAAACAGTTTTACAATCCCTAAAGAAACCTAAGAATAGGTGCACATTTGCATGAGGCTACGAACGACAGAGCGAGATGAATAGCTTTACTGTTCCGGTTTTAGAAGCCAATAATTTCAATAATTGGTTATTCAGGATTACAACACTGTTCAAGAAAGAAGGTTGTATGGCAGCACTAGATGAAGAAGAACCAAGTGCAAGTGCTCCAGTAACAGAAAGAGATACCTGGAAAAAGGCAGACGCAAAAGCTCAGGCTATAGTAGTGGCAGGAATATCTGATAAACACCTAGATATAATCAAAGACAGTCCTTCTGCGAAGAAACAAATTGAGGCACTGAGGGCAGTGTTCATTAGATCAAGTTCTTTCACAAAACTGGCATGCTGGCGAAAACTATTGACCTTGAAAGAAGAGGATACAGAGAAATTAGAAGATTTATATTTAAAATTCGACACAATTATAAGAGAGTTAAAAGAGCATGGGACAGAACTGAATGATAGTGATAAAGTCTGTCACCTATTACTGTCTTTACCAAGTAAATATGATAATGTTGTCACAGCACTAGAAACAATTGATCAAGTCAAATTGGATTTTGCCAAAGCACGATTACTAGATGAAGAATTGAAGCTGAAAGCTAAACATGAAACGGAAACAAGCTTCAAAGCATCCACTGGGTGTTTCAAGTGCAATAGCCCCCACCATTGGCAGGCAAACTGTCCACTACTTAGAGGTGGTAGTAGTAGAGGTAGAACTGGGTATAGGAGAGCAAATACAAGAGGCCGAGCAAGAGGTAGGCAGTATTTCAGAGGTAACCCTCAACAACAACTAAATCAGAATCAACAAGCTCATAATGTTGAACAACAAGAGGAAGAGATACAATTATATGCAGCGAATTTGTGTACTGAGAGAGAAGATGGAAAAATTTCATTTGTGATTGATTCAGGGGCAAGCAATCATTTTGTTAAAGAAGATCTAGAGAAATACATGACAGATATTATAAGCTTAGAACACTCTGTAATCATTCATATTGCTAATGGTGAACAATTAGTAGCCAAGAAAAAAGGTATTTTGAAAACAAGAATTCAAGGACAAATTCTCAACATTGAAGCATTGATTGTACCAAAAATGAAGCATAATTTATTATCAGTTTCCAAGTTAACTTCAAGAGGTCATAGAATTATTATAGAAAAAGAGAAAATGCTTATAAATGTGAAAAATATCCCCTTGATAAGCGAAAATAGAAATGGGCTTTACATACTGGTGGTGGATAGTATTATGAATGAAGAAAAGAGAGAAAGTTGCAATTTGGCACTAGATAAGAATTTATGGCATAGAAGACTTGGCCATGTTGGCACAGATTCCCTGATGCAGTTAAATTTAGAAATACCCAATGGTGTGTGCTCAACATGTGCAGAAGGAAAAGGAACTAGATTACCATTCCATAAGTCGGAGAGAGAAACAAAAGCCATTGGAGAACTAGTACATAGTGATGTGTGTGGCCCAATAAATCCATGCACATTAAATGGTGAAAGATATTTCCAAACCATATTGGATGATTATTCACATTTTACTGTGATAAAGTTACTGAAGACCAAAGGTGAAGCAGGTGAAAATTTGAAAGAATATGTGATGGAAGTAGAAAGACAATATGAAGTTAAAGTGAAGGCTTTCAGATTGGACAATGGAGGAGAATTTGTTTCACAAATGTTCAAAAACTTCTGCAAACAGAAAGGTATATTATTGGAATACACATTGCCACATACTCCACAATATAATGGCAAGGCAGAGAGGTTAAACCGAACCTTGTTGAACAAAGTAAGGACAAAAATTATAGACTCTGGGATACCTAAAGAATTGTGGGGTGAAGCTCTAAAATGTTCAGTTTATGAATTGAACCGTACACCCACCTCAGCTCTACCAAAAGGAGAAACCCCTTCCTCACTAAGGCATGGCAGAAATGATTTAAGCAAACTAAGAATTTTTGGATGCCGAGCATGGTATACCATCCTACCAAAAGGTGGTAACAAATTAGATCCCAAAGCAGAAAAATCCGTCATGGTAGGATATACAGGAGGTGGATGGAGGCTATGGTCACCAAAAGAACAAAAAGTTGTCAGGTCCAGAGATGTTCGATTTGATGAATCAATAATGGAATTTAAAGTACCAAAACAAGAAAACGTGATCATGGAACCACAAAAAATCGGAACTGAAACGTTTTCAGAAGAAATTGAAGATCAAACAGTGACTATGGATCGAAATGATACAGAAGAACCAAATATACAGAATGAATTAGAAGGTCCTGTAGACCCAATGGAAGCAGTGACAACCAGATCAGGAAGAACAGTAAACAAACCAACAAATTTCAACGATTATGAAATGTATGTTGCTTTTTGTTTTCTATCCTCAACCAAAGAAGAACCACAAACATTTAAAGAAGCTTTTGAGAATGAAGATTGGAGGGAAGCAATAAATAAAGAGCTGAAATCACATGAAAACCTCCAAACGTGGATTCCTACAGACTTACCCATGAATACAAAAGCTATAGAGACAAGGTGGATTTTCAAAACCAAAGAAGATGGGACTAGAAAGGCCAGACTAGTAGCAAAGGGTTTCCAAGTACCCTATGATGGAGAGGAATTTGACTATGCACCAGTATGCAGAATAACAACAATAAGACTTCTGTTGTCTATCACAGTACAGAAAAATTGGACAATCAAACAAATTGATGTACCTACAGCCTTCCTTAATGGCACATTAGATACTGAAGTATATATCAAGAAGCCGGAAGGCCTGGATAGTAAAAATATTTATTTTAAATTAAATAGAGCCTTGTATGGACTGAGAAATTCACCGAAATGCTGGAACATGAAGTTCAATGAAATAATGTACAAATTGAACTTCAGACGATCTGACTATGACTACTGTCTATATTTCAAAGAAAATGTCTATCTGGTGTTGTACGTGGATGATGGACTTATAGTGGGTACCGAAGATCAGGTGGATTCATTGATTAATAGTCTCTACAATGAATTCAAAGTAAAAAGTATACAAAAGGTGAAGTCTTTCCTTGGAATGGAAATTGAAAACACAAATGAAGCTTTAAAGGTACACCAAATGCGAATGATTGACAAATTGTTAAAAGAATTCAATATGGAGAACACAAAATCAATCACCACACCCATGGAAGTTGGTTTCAGCGTTCAGGAAGATGAAGAAATTTTGTTGAATATTCCTTACCGAAGATTAGTTTGTACCTTGATGTACATATCCATTTATGACAAGACCTGATATTGCTCAAAGTGTGACAGTTTTGAGTAGATATCTAGACAAACCTACTGCGAGCACTTGGAATGCAGCAAAAAGAATATTGCGTTATCTCAATATGACTAAAGACTATGTCCTGATTTTTAATCAAGGAGACACTGGACTCATTGCTATGTGTGATGCTGACTGGGCTGGGGATAAACAGACCAGAAAAAGCGTGAGTGGATTCATAGCTTTTCATAACAACAATCCGATTGCCTGGTTTTCACGAAAGCAAACATGTGTTGCCCTCAGCTCAATGGAAGCTGAATATATTGCAGCAGCACAAGCAGCACAAGAGCTTGTCAATCTCAAGGGACTTCTAGTCGAGTTTGGTGAAAACCAACAAATATTGTTAAGAATTGATAATTTGAGTGCTATTGCCACCATTAAAAATTTTCAAAATTCAAAGAGATGCAAACATATAGAAATTAAATATCACTACATCAAAGATCTGTGCTTGAAGAAGGTATTTATGATTCAATACATTTGCTCTTCTGAAAATTGTGCAGATATGTTTACTAAATCTTTGCCAAAAGATAAATTTGTTAAATTTAGGAATAGTATATTGTTGAATAATCAATAGGTAATAGTAGGAGTTGAGATTAAAAAAAAAATTATTTTGTTAGATAGGTATCTTTATCACAGATTAACAACTTTATTTAGCAAATAAAATGTACTATATATTTTGAAATTGTTGAAAGTATGTATAGTACTTTTTATTTGAGGGGGAGTGTTAGGAATTGTGGAATATTGTGACTTTATCTCAGTGTTTCGCCGTTCCATGATGAGTTGATACTTTGTCTAATGTTAATGTTCTGTGAGATATACAAACCTTGGTGTTGAAACATGAAAATGTCATATGTCAATAGTTAGACAGTTAGGTTAAAATATATGAATGCAGACAAGTTTTTTGATGGCGTCGTTTCACAAATGAATAATAAAGTGATTATTCCTTGCAATTACTAAGCAGCCACTGTGTTTTTATCAAGACAAAATCCCTAACTTCAATAGTTAAATCCGTAGGTGTGGCAGATGAGACTCAACGACATGGCCACGGCAGATATGATCAAACAGACGTTATTGACGAACAACGCGTTGACTTGCAAGAAGTCGGCGAATAAAAACACTAAATCTAAATTCCGTCGAATAGTTATACACTGCGATGCCGAACATTATGAAAATAGCGATAAAGAACCCTTACGTGTGTCAGATCAGAGTAATGACACTGACAGGGCAGATATGATCGGGCGGACGTTGTTGACGAACAACGCGTTGACTTGCGTAAAGCCCGCAAATAACAACCCTAAATCTAAATTCCCTCGAATACTTACACACTGCGATGCCGAACATTATCGAAATGGCGATGTAGAACCCGTAGGTGTGGCAGATCGGAGTCAACGACACGGCCACGGCAGATATGATCAGGCAGACATTGTTAACGAACAACGCGTTGACTTGCGGGAAGTCGGCAAAGTAGCCGCAGGCGATGCGACCGACGGTGTTTGTGATGCCGATGATCGACAGAAGGAACGACGCTTGGCTCGCATCGATGCCCTGCGAATACAAAAGCACTCAATTATTTTTTCATCTGGAAATTCCGCACCCAAAAGTTCAGATCAATTAAAAGCCTGTATCATGCATCGTTTTCATAGCAACCAAACAAATTTCCAGACATTTTAAAATTTCATTCAACCTAATAATATTACGTGAGCAAATTTCTTTGATACTAAAATACTACTCCGAGTTTTTTGTGATGAAATATAATTCTACCAACTTTAGTGAAATGAATTATTATTTTGTTGAACTAAAGTAAACTAAAGTGAGTTGATGATGTTTTATTTCACCTGACAATATTATGGATGTGAATTTTATCAATACTACATAATACTGCTTCCAGTTCCTTGTAACAGAATATATTTCCACCAACTTTAGTGAAATGAAGTTATTCGAGAATAATGATTTGAACTACCACCAGCTGCCTTATTAATAATGTGGGATAACTTGTGTCGGTATTTTTTATTTTATTTAGGATAATCTCAATCGAGTATATTTTTATATTTCGGTGTGAAATTTTCTTACCGATTTCACTCTAGCTTCAATTAAAAACAGAAAATTTCCAGTTATAATTGGAGCTCTCGTGGTATGATGAGTGAGAATTCGCTGATTCAACAAAGAGTTGGTACTACAACTTATGAGATGCAACACATATTTGATTATAAATTGTAAAATAGCGGAATATACAAAATGCTACATTGTGATTCGATCAAGAGACGCCATTTCATGAAATATCTAGATTTGCATATCGATTTACTGATCTACTGAAACAGTTCATAACCAACTGAAAAATAGTTTGACACATGAATAATTTTAATTACCTATATATATTATTATTAATCTTTATTCAATCACATACACTTATAAATTGCATGATATTTAGGCACGCTGTGTTTAAATTAATTTTACAAAATAAATAATGAATGTGCATATAGGTACTATAAATGATATTATGTATAAACCAAAAAAGGACAATATTTTATCTGATTCATTTTTACTATTCGTTCCTGTTTTTATATGCTAAAATCTTATAAGTAGGTACCTATATGTAACAGTATTTTGTGATATATGTGAGTATTTTTGAACTGAGAATTAGGAACATTATGATTATTTTTGTGTAAGAATGTTTTTCATGTTTGTTTCTATTTTGTTGAAAATACTTTTCTGTTTACTAAAAGTACATAATGTTTTGATATCATAGGTTTACTTCATTATCCTTCCTTGGAATTCATATAGCATGAAATAGTTTTTAAGTTGACAACAACTCTGTCATTTGCTATTGTCAAACTAATTAATCACATGTGAAATGGGACCCTGCTTGGTACATAAATAACTATTTTAGTTGAATATTTCTCAGCACACTTTTATTATTTCATTTTCAACTTCTTTTAAGTTTGGCTTTCCATGAGAGCGTCTTTCATTAGGTTGTCAAACAATTCTATTCACACTACCTACTCTTCATTTTCTACTTCTTTTCAGTTTGGCTATCTATGAAAGCGTAGTTTCATTAGTTTTTTAATTACGATAGCTGACCCGGAAACCGTTAATTCGCTTTATAGAATAATTTTTAGGAATTCTTTTTTTAGTTAAATTAATTTATCAACACGCTTTTATTATTTTTTCTACATTCATGCAAAAAACAGAACTTTATTGAACTATATTTAGTGGAAAAAGAAGTTCTTTATTGCACTTAGTGCAATAAAGTTTTTATTGCACTCATCTGTCATTCTACTTCAACGTGCTGTCATCTTGACAAACATTTTCTATAATGCAACTGTGGTTATAGAAACGTCAGTCAAAAATTAATTCTGACAATTAACAGAA